CTAGAGATTAGCCCTAACGCCATCCTCCAATCCGTGACCTAGTCCTCTGTGATGGTTAAGCATGTTTCTTGAGTTCTAATTGCTTCGGAATCTGTGATATACTTTCATTGATCATTCTGATGTATACCGACATCACTGGGAGATGTCCAATTCTCATTGTCTGAATGTCAGTAGTTTGCTTATAACTGATAATTCAGTGAGAACAATCCAATCAAGTCGATAAACTTTAGAATTTCGTAGTTCATCTAGAGGGTATCAGTGTTTTCACTAGTGCAAATTTCGCTCTCCCTCTTTCAATGAGGAACTTCAGAATTCCTAATGGACAGAGAATCTTATTTTTTCTACAATGCATTTTTTCAATCAGCAATATTAGGTTAACTTCAAATTATTAATAATATTTTCAAGTATTGGTTTGTTAGGGATTTTTTTCTCCAATGGTACTCTAACTGATGTCAGCTAAGGTTGAAACCTTCCATGCTATTATAAATAATAGCTTGGTGAGCACATCATGACAGTATTGTCGTAAGTAGCTGTTTCTGCACACTAACGCATATATTCTGAATTGTATACGTGCAAAAAGGTGAACGATTTTATGACAAACATCGATATAAGATAGACAAAATTCCACCATATGCTGTTGAACAGATTGATTCGAAACGTACATTAACTGCTATGTCTCATCTAGACCAAAAGACACCTCAGAAATCAATGCCTATTAACACGTATGCCGAAATCAGAAGGCATACTTAACTGTAGACCACACGTCGGTGTTATTCTGATACTGAAATCGATTGGACAAGTGACTGTTAATCCCATCTAACTGATCTCGGATTCTGACCTAGTTCCTGAAATCAAAGTGTGATCATTTGGGCGTTATTTGTGATGACTGAAGCAGTTTAAACCCCTTGCCAATACGTTTGAGAGCCGATGTAAGCGAGAAAATTTGACGACTACATGACAATGTTACAACTGGATTCAACAACATCGGAATTTACAAGTGGACGATCTAGTACTAGTGACAACAGAAACCACATCGCTTAAATGCTGGCTGAAATGAGTAGATGCAAGTGTGATAAATTTCTCTGACTGAAGAATTTAAAGAGTAGAAATTAGCACACCTAGAGGTGAAATCAGCCACGACTTACGTAAACCTTACTTATAAGAAGGCATTGATGAACGGTAGCTGTCGTTAAGGATACAACTTCCACTAGTGGATGTGGACGTGTCGAGGGTAGATCGTAACGGTTTTGTACACATTCAGAAATTATTTTAGAGTGAACGAAACTAGTTTTCAAGGACCTGTGTAAATCACCTTCTTATCTGTTCATTATCACCTATTCTGAAGGGAATCAGCGACTGCCTGTCTAAAATTTTGGCTGTCAAATCCTCCATCAATCTATTGCATATATTTTCTCTCATTCCCTTTGTTTAGTTATAGTAATATATGGCCTCTAGTAGTATTATTTACTCTGGCGAAAATTCGAAACATTTACAGACCGCCGATCCTCAGATTTCTACTAAAATTGAGAAGAAGGCTTATCCTCGGTGGTAGTTTATCCCAGTACATGAGACGACCGTTCATGAGTCGTGTCTTTAGTTCACAAAACGTACTCCCGAAGTTTTTATGATTGGCATTCATCCAAATATCACGTGTTTCTCGAAGAAGACTTAGAAGAGATATCATAATGGTGGAGTGATTTGAGCTTCTGGCCAGATACAACCATGTCACATTATCTACTGTCACTTAATCTTTTATTTGAAGATCCTGGACGAGAAGATTATATCATGCGATGAACTCCACTGAAAATTCTGTACATTATATAAACACTGTTTCAGAATAAAGCTGTTACCATTATTACTAGTATCGAATACCTGTTACTAGTGAGTAGTATCAGCTTATATTTTATTTACCATTCGCTTACTCCATAACCACAGTTACTGATTTTCATGGCAATTAACTTCAAAATTTGTCATTGCAATCCCTCAGTAAAGTCAATTATGAACAGGGAAGTAAATATCGATGAGACCGATGTGTTTTTCATACATTTAAATCGATTTGTTCTCTTACGTAAATATTCTAATTTTATATACAATCAAGGGTGAGAGATTTGTTTCCACACAAATCCTTTGAACGCCCCATTCCAGTCTGCCTTCACGTTAACTTCTCACTGTCAGTCTTTTCAGTTATATATAAAGATTGTCTTTCTCAGTGAATTTTACCAAATTTGGGCTTCTTCAATGCAGACATGAGTACAAAAGCTGAGCACAATGAGAATGCAACGTTCATCACTCACGTTGTTTCGCCAATAATGCGCACCAGATTACATAATCAACTAAACTCGCAAATAATATGCATACGGATATGTACAATTCTTTTCGATGCTAACTCGTCCTCCTGATGTAAGCTGAAAACACGTAAAATATCAACTTTTATAATAAAAAAGATGAATACATTTCATTTCATATGGTTTTCATCGGTTGCGAAAACGTGAATATTAAACAATATATGCGATCAATCTGACACAATTTAGACACTCTAGAAGTGAATAACTATGTCATTTTACGAGAGTACAACTCAAGTGAGGTCCGAATGATATAGGAAGTTAGACCAATCAATAGTGAACCAAATAGAGACAGTGACCACGTTTAAACCGCTCTCACTCTCGGATCCAATGGAAGTGCACCTCAACGATTTGACGCCGTCATCACCTAATGTAACAATGAAACTGTTTCGATTGCCTTAATGATAAATAACTTATACTATTTCATGCAGTGATATCCTTCCGCTCCATGAAAATTATGAAATACCCTTATGCATGAAGGGGTTCTCATGTGTGTTTTAAATGTCAATTTATTGATAACAGCCTAATCGATGTTTGTGGTGTGAGAAATACAAGAGAATGAGTGATATAAAATTAACTGATTTTATCATTAAATATTTTCTATACTGACTTTTCATACGACGATGTTGTTTGATTCATGACTGACCTTCTCTCTTTACCATTTTTATCATCGGCTGTTAAACTATGTGATTTTTCGAATGCCTTAGCCGAATGAGGAATCTACACCTGCCACATTCCCAACATATCACGATTAATGGTACACATTGAAACAGTGTTCAATCACTTATGACAATGATCCAAACAAGACATGAAGCAATGATATTTTGCGAACTTAGAAAACCACGCATTTCTCAGTCCAAGCAGTCCTGTTTAGTCACAGGTTGCTTTGCTGAAGAGAACTTTTGAAGTTACATTTTACAATTCTTTTTCGAACATCCGACCAGAATGCATGGAACCGCGAGTGTCATGCTAAAGCTAAAATGTTCTTCACTGCATAACACGCCGTATAGACGAGTCCGGATAATCAACGATTTCCCGTCATTTTTAAATATTTTACAAATCAACAAATTAGTCACGTTCGAATATGAAATAATCCATAGATGAACTTTCAGGAAGTTACCACTGTCTTAATAACTTTAGGCTGTTTTGAACACAAATGAATTTGTTTGTAAAATATGCATCCTGATACTTTGTTTGATGCTGCGTAGAACACTACGCAAAAGAAACTTGTCAGGCTACATTTTACGTTTCGATATTTCGTACTTGGTCATTGAAATGGATAACCTGATTCACACATTGACTGTTTCAGTAACGTTGAACAACTAGCTGAGAATTCAGGTTCTGTCAAGTTTTGGCTCCTACACACATGAACGGACGCTTTCTACACAAAATGAAATGACTGGCTGACTGACTGAAATGTTTCCCCAGGTGATTCACAGACTTCCACAAGGCTTAAGACGTGAAGAGTTGTTGATTCACCTTAAAGTAGTGTAATTAACTATCGCATTCTTCAATGGAATAGCTGCAGTGATGATTAGTATGAATGGTATGCAAATCCTAAGGCTATTAATATTTAAGCGAGCTGCTATGTTTTTATTTTACTGCTGCGTTGGTCACACATTGTCATGCCATGGTTTTGAATATCCTAATGAAAATAAGGTGAGATGTAATCCTGTTCAGCACTCAAGAAGTCGTGTATTTGGAGATCATCCTAAAAATTAGTTTTCGTATTTTCGGAAGCACCGCTAGTATTATTCGGATTTCGAAGTGAATATCATTTACTGTCAGAATCAATCAGTTGATTCTCAATGACATGTTACGTCCAACAGAGTCCATTCATTATTTCGTGTAGTGTATGCACGAGATTTGCCAACTACCAGATATACCAAGTAAATTTTACATAAATTCACAGAAATAGACATTCGAGTGAATGTAGATCGTGATACCGGCGAATATGAGAATTATTATTATTACTATTATTATTATTATGATTATTATTGTTCCCTTGGGTTCCTAGTGGAACATAGGGCTTCAACAACACGTCTCCACTTGTTTCTGTCTTCTGCTGTACTTTTCACCTGCATCCATGTTAGTCCATTCTGTTTCAGCTCCTCTTCACACGATCTCCTCCATGTCACCCTTCGACGTCCAACTCGCCGCTTCCCTTTCGGGTTCCACTCGAGGGCCTGACAAGCGATGTCACCCAACGGCCTCCTCAGCGAGTGTCCAATCCATCTTCACTTTCTCCTGCATATTTGTTGGGCGATTGGTTCTTGTTTTGTTTGTTCCCATAGTTTCTTGTTGGTGATTCTTTCCGGCGGCCATCTGATCTTCAGTATAGTGCGAAGACAGTTGTTGATAAAGGTCTGCAACAGGCTGTTGGAAATATTCTTTGTGACCGGCCAAGTTTCTGGTCCGTATAGAAGAACTGACTGACTTGACGTTTGTATTGAAAATCCGGATTTTGTTGTTGATGCTGAGTGACGAAGATTTCCAGACTGGTTTCAGGTTGATGAATATGTTTCTCGCCTTCCCGATTCTCGATTTGACATCCTCGTCCGTTCCTCCTGTAGTTGAGACAACAATCCCTAGATAAGTGAATGAAGTAACCTCTTTCAAATCCCTCCCGTTGATGGTGATTGGCGCTGGATGTTGCTGCTATTGTTGCTGTTGTTGGTTGATTATTTTCTGTTGTGGTTTTTGTTGTTGTTGTTGGAGCTCTTGCCTTTCTCTTAATCTTGGAAGATTTTCCACCTCTCTGTTATTGTCGTCCTCATCGTCGTTGCCTCCGTCCATTGGGGAGTATTTCGCCAGGGTGCTGTAATCTGATCCACTGATCACACCGATATGCTGTTGTTCTACACGTAAATCAGTAATCTCTTCATCAATCAATTGTGTCAGATACTTTGGACTTGTAACTAATAGTGAAGTTTGTAAGACAACTTGATTATCAGTTTTATTGAGGCTACATTCTTGTGATATTGACTGAATCACATTTGCATCATTCACTGGATACACATCAGTATCTTTCATTTCTTCTTCCTTTGCTTCTTCTCCTTCTCGTTGTGCTTCTTCGTTTGTTTCACCTTCATCCGCTTCAAACATGTATATGCGTGTTTTAGCATGAATAGCGATTGTTTGTTTCGACACTTCACTGTAGACATCTTGTTCAATTTTGAATGGTGTATCGATTGATGTTGTTGGCGTGGGTGCAGTTGTATCCTCTGGTGTTGTACTCCTGATTATAGTCAGTGGACTTTGTGTAGACCGATGATGCTGATCAATAATTCTTGAAGGTAATTGTATATTGTATTCTTGTCGTAATCGTGTTATAATCTCTTCTTCTTCATCAGAGAATTTCTGTTGTTGTTGTGTTTGTTTGTTCTTTTTCTGTGTAATTCGAGTTGAATAACTCAATGCTGGTGGGGGTGTTGGTGATGTGGGAATGTCTGTATAGTCGATAGACAGTTTGCCAATAGCTTTGTTAAGCGCTTCGTTAGTCAGTTTTCTGGCTATATACATCTCTTCAGATTCCTCGTCGACTAGTGCTAGTGAGCTTGTTGGTTTCTTGATTTCACTGTGTGATGTAGTATGTTTATCACCTTTGAAATCTTCAGACAATGAACGTCGTAGATTGTAATAACCGGTAGTAGTAGTAGTGGCTGTGATTACATTACTGGTGCTGCTTACCAAGTTTTCTGTGTGGCTATCATCTTTTGAAATGCAGGAATAATTTCTACAAATACTCTGAGAGATGGTTATACGAAGTTGATTTCCTTCAGGTCTGTTTGTTGTTGGTGGTGTCGCTGCTGTTTCTGCTGCTGCGGCTGCTGGTGGTGTTGATTCTCCATTGAGGAGACACTGATGTTTGAAATCAATTGGAGAATATATAATCTTTTCAGGTGAAAAGTGTGCTTCTCTGCTCGGTGTTGTTGCATGCTGGTAGATCTCTTCTTCGTCAGAGTGATCGTTTGTTTGAGCTTTCTCTGTGAATATGGTATCCTGGTTAATAATCGCAGGTGTAGATTTTACCCTGTAGTAGTAGTCAATCGATGTATTTATGGAATGGTCCATTTCAATATTTGATTTACAATCATAAATTTGTTCAGGCATAATTGTGATCTTTTGTTGTAATTGTTTTATTTTCATAACCTCCGTCTTGTCTCCGTTCACCTGGAGACCTATCTTTGCTGCTTCTTCGACCAGTTTGTCGGTTTTCGCTTGTAAGTCTTCGATTTTGTGTGACATCAAACATAAATCATCCACGCGCGAAATCTAGGTCTTCTAGGTTCTTCACGTCGGTCCAGGATATCCCTGTCTTCTCGTTTCTCACTGTCTCACGCATAATCCAGTCCACCACAATTAGGAATATCATTGGTGATAATAAGCACTCTTGGCTGACTCCTGTGTTTACTCCAAACGCCTCGCTGAGTTTTCCGTTGTGGATGACTTGACATGTGCCGTTGTCGTACAGCTGTTGAATAAGGTTGATGAATATTTGGGGTACGCCGTAGAACTTGAGTAGTTTCCAAATTACTTCGCAGTCAACGCTGTCGAAGGCCTTCTCAAAGTCTATAAAGTTGAGGTAGAGGTTTGATTGCCATTCCATGCTTTGTTCGATGATGATGCGTAGAGTTGCAATTTGGTCAGAATATGATTTGCCTTTCCTGAATCCAGCTTGTTCTGGTCGGAGTTCTGTATCCAGTGCGTCCTTTATTCTCTCCAGGATGATGCAACTCAGGATTTTACTTGGCGTCGACAGGAGCATGATTCCTCGCCAGTTCTTGCAGAGTCCTAGGTCGCCCTTCTTTGGTAGTTTCACGAGGTAACCTTCCCTCCAGTCAGTAGGCACCTTTCCCTCTTTCCAGATCTTTTGCAATAATGGAGTCAGCTTATCTGCTGTCGTCTCTGGGTCCGCTTTCAGTGCTTCAGGGGGTATTCCATCTGGTCCAGCTGCTTTTCCAGCTTTCAGAAGCTTGATTGCATTCAAGACTTCAGCTTTCGTTGGAGGATCGGTGTCAACTTGCAGTTGTGTCCGTGCTGTTGTTGGTATTTCCGGACGGATTGCAAGTGGTGGTCGGTTCAAGAGTCCTTTGAAGTGGTCCGCCCATTGTTTAATCTGTCTTTCTTCCTTGGTAATTGGGTTCCCTTGGCTGCCTTTCATGGGTTTTACTTGTGTTGATCTCTTCCCGGATAGAGACATGGTTATCTGATATAATCTCCTCAGGTCTCTTTTGCATGCTGCCTTCTCAGCTTCAGTGGCCAGGTTGTCGTAGAATTGTCTTTTGTCCTTCCTGGCACTCTTCTTCACTCCTTTGTCCAGTGCTGTGTAAGTTGATCTCAGCATCTCTTTCTCTTGTCCATCTTTCCATTGAATCATTTTCTCTTTCACCATTCTCCTCTTCTCTATTAGCTTCCAAGTGTCCGTTGAGAGCCATTCCTTATCTTGTCACCTCTCTCTTCCTAAAACCGTTGAACACGTTTCGTTAAAAATCACCTTCAGAGAGTTCCAATAGTCTTCCACGCATGATTCTTCCATGATGTCACGAAGTGTTTCACGCTTAGCTCTGACAGTTGCAGTGAATGTGTCCTTTCTGGGTATATCCTTCAGTTTTCGAGTGTTGAACTTGCATTGCGGCCTATCCCCAGCTGTTCTCCACGTTTTAGCTTCACCTTGAAAGTCCCTTGTACTAGATAGTGGTCTGAGAATAAACACCACTAAATGTGATGAAATTATAGTTTGAGAAATCAAATCACCTTCACTACCGTACTGGTGTAAAAACTGAGGAGTGATTATCAAGAGTACATGAAGCTTAACTTAAAGTGTGAATATTGTTAACATGAATACAAAATTTATCTTCTGAATACACATATTACTTATGCATACACAATTCAGTTGCTTACATATTGTCACAATATTCATTCATGCATGAAAACACTAAGTACGCCATCACTTCTATTGCAAAAACAAACAATGCACAGATAAATTTGAGATGATCGATCCCAATTTAGAAGTACACTTCAAATCATTGAAAACATTAGAACGATTTCAGTGAAAATAAATCTGTCCTTATGTGCATGCATATTGACAATACATATAGAGCTTATCTCTTTACCTATTAAGTATCAATACATTCAAAATAACAAAGACATGATCTGAAACACAATATGATTGTTGCCGCCTGAGAAATGAGTGTTGTATGTCAACAGTGTTTTGTTTTTGTGCTCTCATCTCACTGCTTTTATGCTTCAATGAAATCAACATTTTGTCGTTTGTTGTTTACAAAAGCAGCGTGAAGATACTAAATAGTGAAGAGATGGATAATGAATGGGCGTGGCACACGTACACCAGATCAAGGCCTCAGAATGATTCAAGAGAACGTGAAATTGTTTATCTCTGTACTTACAGAATAAAGATTTTCGTGTGAAGATGCAGACACTTCTACTTGTGCTGATTATCAGAGAAGCGATCTGAGAGATAGGCGCTCACCACGTCGAGTGTTTGTCTCTGTGTCTCTCTGCATTGTTCATTCCAGAACTCTGGTTATTTCACATTGTCGTGATGATATTGTACGGGTGACAATGAAGATTTGGAGTTATTGTATTTCTGATGATGACACTCTCGTGATCAGGACAACTCATCATTCTCTTTTTCATTTAAAAGTATTAGGTGTTGTGGGTACAACTATTGCGATCTTTGATTATGAAGGACAAGATAATCGTTCCAACTTACTTCGTCTCAGATAAATTTGGTACTCGTAGATCGTGATTCTGTGAGCTGTGGTTCACTCGTTCGATATAGTATCCGACTATCGGACTACTTTCAAGTGCTTGATAAATTCAGGAAGACTGCCAAATCAATAGAGACTCCTAAGGAGGCACACGAAAATTTGCTTATGGCCTGACGGTGAACGTCGAACATATCTGAAAAAGCAGACCAAACGCGCTCTCTTCCTTGTTCGAAAGAAATCTAATTTTCCTAAGGTACATATTTTCATTTCATCTGACGAAAATTTCCCTTGTTGCACACGTTCTACACTGAATGCCTTTTCATCAGTCTAAATATAATTTGTCGACTGCTTTAGGATACTGAGTCTCTCTATGTCTTCATCCATTTTCACGTAGTGTATGTTTGTCCGAATTCAATCATTGTTTGAAGTGCTCATTGAAAAAGTTCTCAGCTTGTTTATTGGTTGCAATTCACATAAATTGAAGTCAGTTGCTTCCGTATACTAAGCTGATGTTTTCGGATAAAGTAATTATCAAGAGGATTGAGAGTGTATCCGTTATCATCTTCGTCGAATGACTTGTGGCTAACAGATTAGTTTTCAATTTGAAACAATGTTACCTGAACGTCACTGGTGGTTCTACTGAACCAGAAAATCTCCATTTATGCAGAATATTATGAGCATAATGTCACTCAAAGTGTTTAGGTTTGATAGAGAATTATCAATGAACTGATGCGGATTTCTGAATCTGATGTTTACGCGACAACGAAATGATAAATAAACCATGCTACTTATCAGTAATAAGTACTTCAAATTTGTCCACAAATTGAAATGTGATAATTGAGAGTAATGAAAGAACTACCATATACTGTCATTGCAATTTGTTTCGATGTACCCGTGGATATATCTGGAGGTTGCATTATACTTGGTGTAAGCAGTTGGGGAGAGGTTTCTCCTGAGAAAGCGTATATTATTTCACTGAATATTAAATTGACTTAAATCAGATGTCTTTACTTTAACAAGTTTATGTGATCCGATAATAGTTAATTTTAAATACTTGTCTTTATGTATGTGGCGACGAAAGTATCTATGAACAGTCACAAGTTATTTGGACAAAACCTGTAATTTTCAGAAACTTCCACACACAAGTAAAAGCCTATGGTTAAATAATTAGAACATCGAGGAATCACAAAATTAGAAATCAGATACACGTTTGATTCAAGGAATTATTACCACCGGAATGTCAGATTCGGTGGAAGTATTCACATTTCAGTAGTGTTATCTCAACTTCTTCAGAGATGATGTTATCTCACGTAAACTAGCAGTGTTATAAACGCTGGTCCACTGGTGTAAGCTTGACACATTATTCTCTTTGAAGAATGATCGTTCATATTTACTCATACAAAAGTCTCAGATAAACATAAATTCGACGGCTTCCTCGAAATCTGCACTGGACCATTCTCATATTACTCCTGTCAAAATTCTCAGCCGTCTAAAATACTGGTGCCTTTAAGTGAACTGTAAGTCGAGAATTTTGTTTATAAAACTGTACTATGTAGCGAAACTCTTCGACAGTATTAGACAAGCTATAATTACAGCATGACCAATGTTGAGAAGTTGTTCAGTTATCCCACTCTTTATAGAGAGAATACGACCTCTCTGAAACTATTCGGAATCATGTTCTGTTACCCTAACCAAATGTCGGCAAATGAGAAAAGTCTGTAACAAAATAGAAGCTGTACACGAATGAACTTTCATCTCAGAGAGAGACTAGAGTTGTGATATCCTGAAAAAAGGATATTAATCAGAGCAACGCAAACAGCAGTGCTTTCCAGTCGTGGAGTGGTGTCCAGGGACATGAAAGTCAAGATCTCATATCCAACCACTCATGCGTGCATATATCTGCACATGTTTTCCTGTGGAGACAGCTGCATTCGTCACTCGATTAGTAACCTGTCTAAACGACTCACAGAACACCATCCGAATTCTATTGAAACTAAACAGCTGCTTCGAAGTGGAGAACAGCCTGCGAAACGTTTTCAAACGTTTTCATCTCCTCTGCATTACTGAAGCTTTACGACTTCAGATAGAGCGATGGAAGCTATGAACACGAATGAATACTGTTCAGCCCCTTCTACTTACATCGTAACATCCTCGTCGCTTTTCATAACTTTAGTTTCGTTTGTTGCTGCATTAGCTCTATACAACTCCTGTATTTGTCTTGACATTTTCTGCATTGTCATACTTTCCTCCGTTTCTATGTTTGTCTTGAATGAATCGTACTAAGTTATAGACTTTGGTATGTAACCGTAATTGAATTCGTCTTGGGCACTGAATAATATTAAC